AAATAAATATATATATATATATATTTTTTTTTTTAAACTGGGGGAGGCCGAGGGATTGGGTTATATCAGCGCGGAAGGAGACAGCAGGGGGACAACCCAGAGGTCAAAGGGGACTTCCTGTAGCGGTCAAACACACGCTGCTGGACGGTAAGCGTAATCTCAGCTGTTGGCACGCACACACACACACACACAGGCGCACATATACAAAAGCGGGAAGAAAATGAAGTGGATTTAAGGCACGGGTGGTTTGGAACGGCTGAGGTCACCCCCTCAAAGTCTCTCGTTGCTTTTTCCAATGATTCTCCCATCATTGAGTGTAAATTGGAATGGCACGTGAAGAAGTTAAAAAAAAAACAGCAAATAACTCAACCGACAAGCAGATGTTGTTCGACGGATTTAAAACAGAAGCCTTATCATTTTTTATCAGAGAAATAACCTTCATAAGCAACCTCGTGGGTTACAAACTGCCAGCGTATGAAGACAAAAAAAAAAACAACCCGAAACATACACACGTTACCTACAGAAATATTAACAATCAAATCCTCACAGAGGACTTTCTCGAGTCTTTTCATCTCTCTAAAAATATATATCTATCTATCAAGATTTGATCACGGTAAAAGAGTAAGGCACGGCGTGAGCCAATCGCAAGTGCGACTCTCCTCCTCGTCCACTTCCAAGTGTCTGATTCGGAGAGCGTCTGGATGGAACGGGGGACGACGTATTCCTTGAATTAAAATGTTTTGGGATACGTGTGCGGCTGTACATGTGTGTTGGATGTATTGTGGGAGTTGGGGGGAGAGGGGGGGGGGGGTTCAGGGTCTGGTGAGCTGTGTGTAAACCGGAGCCTGCTCCCAGTGCTGAGGGCTGCTCTGGGGGATGGAGGGCACCCCCGCGTTGTCGGCAATCGGCGTGTACATGGGCCTCTGGCTGGGACTGCTCATGTAGCTGAAAGTCGAGTAGAGGCCCGAGCCCTGGCCCGCCCCCGCGTGGCTGTAGAACGAGGGCGCGCCCCCCTGGTGGTCGGTGAAGTCGTACTGCTGCGCCCTGGAGATGGCCGGGTACGAGGTGGGGCTGTAGTGCTGCAGGTTGAAGGGGCTGTAGGCCACGTGCTGCGGGGAGCCCTGCTGCTCGCTGAAGTGGCTCGGGCTCAGCTGCTCCGTCTTGATCTGGGTCCTGTGCTGAGCCTGACCCGCCTCGGACCCGGCGTTCCCTCCCAGGGTGGTGAGGGTGTGCTGCTGCTGTTGTCCCTGCTGGTTCTGGCTTTTCGGCATCCAGGCCGCTCCCGCCGGCGGGCTGACCGGAGCGCCGCCGCTGATGCTGTAGCTGCCGGTGTAGGCGACCGGTGTCCCCGGCCCGCTCACGGAACCCGGGTGGCCGTTGGGCGGGAGGTACTGGTCGAACTCGTTGACGTCGAAGGTCTCGATGTGAGAGATGACGTCGCTGCTCAACTCGCCGATGTCCACGTCGCGGAAGTCGATGTTCAGTTGCCGCTGGCTAGCGCCTTCGGGGAGGGATCTGAGACCCCCTTCGCGCTTAAGATCCATCTTGCCGGAGCTGACATCGGTTTTTGGGGTTGTGGGAGGGGTCGGGGGTCCCTGGGAACCTGGTGGATTCAAACAAGATCGCACTACATTTATATACAGTGATACTTTGACTTGTCCGACACACAAAAATGAAATGAACGCACTCGTAAGGAGTATAGACAAAACTGCATTGTGAAAGCTAAATCTGACTGGTTGCAGCTCATGACGTCACACACTAAAATTTCACAATACATACGTTTGATCAGAACTACAGATAAAAAGGAGACTTCTCCACCCCTCAAAAAAGCTCACCTGAGTGCTCCCCGGGTGAGTGCACCTCCCCCAAACTGGAGGCCGGAGAGTCTGCCTGCTGCAGCGCTTTAAAGATGGCATTGGGAGAAATGTGGGTTTGCTCGCTGCCCTCCTCCCCCTCGCTCTGTCCGTTCTTGACCGACTTCCTCCGCCTTGGCTGGTACTTGTAGTCGGGGTGATCCTTCTTGTGCTGCACGCGCAACCGCTCGGCTTCCTCCACAAACGGCCTTTTCTCGCCCTCATTGAGAAGTCTGTGCGTTAAAAAAAAAAAAAAAAAAGCAATAGCATGAGTCGCGAGTGGGAGTGATTCAAAACGCGCAGTGAAAAGTAACACTTACCTCCAAAGTTTGCCCAACGTTTTGCTGAGCTCGGCGTTGTGCAGGTGCGGGTACTGGTCGGCCAGCTTCCTGCGCGCAGCCTGAGCCCAAACCATGAAGGCGTTCATCGGTCTCTTCACGTGAGGCTTGTTCTTGGTAGATCCGTTTACGCGCACGGGCATGGGCACCAGAGTCCAGTCGTAACCCTTGAGCACCTGGGACACGGCGTCGCGTATGCAAGCGGGGAACTTATCGTCTTCGTCCTTCTTGAAGTCGCCCAGAGCCGCCTCCACTCGGAGCAGCGCGTTCTCCGACGGCCGCGTGTTTTCGGTGTCTGAACCGGAGCCGGACGGGCACGGAGAGCCCGCGGAGTCCTCGGACATGCTCGGGCTCGGGGCATCGGAGAGACACTTGTCTTGTTCCTCCGACATCTTCAGGTAGGGGTCGAGAAGATTCATACGAGAAACGGGTCGCTGCCAAAACTTACGCGTGAAACGGGGACGTTAGCGCTGGCGCCTCTCGTGAAGGAAAATCTGTCAAAGCGACTTGCCAGAATCAATCCGGTCAAAGTCTTGAAACTTTGCAAAAAAAAAAAAAAAAAAGAAAAGGGAAAAAAAACGTCCCTTTTTCTGCGTAAACTCGATTTGGAAAGAAACGTCTTGACGCACGGGCATCCGATGAGCGGTGCGTCGATCCACAGAGAAACAAATCAAACTCAAGTGTCTGACTTCAAAACTGCAGGATGAAATGTGTGGTAAAGTTCTCCTTTGCTCGTCTCCAAATAGAATCCCAGAACGCGTGAGTGCTCTGAACTGCAAAGTCGCTCGCTCACGCACTTTATAAGAACGTTACCATGGCGCGCAGGAAAGCCTGCGTGTGATTGGTGGGCAGCGTGGGACGTAAACGTGGAGGAATTTGATACCACTTTCTCTTGTGTAGCAGCAGGCACGCACACACACACACTCGCGCACACGCGCGCGCGCACACACACGCGCACACTCGCACACACGCGCGCGCATGCACGCACATTGCACAGCAGCCGGTAGCGTTCGTTCTCCAAAAGAAGCCCACACAAGAAATTTGCATTTCCCCCCTAAAAACGACCTTATTGAGTAGGTTTATAAATAAATGAAATAAATATAATATTTAATATGTGTTTGCTGTCAAGTATTAAGAACCCAACGGCAATAGAACTCCTGTACGTTGAGGTAAGTTTTATTTCCAGTACATCGTGTTTGCCAATGGGGGGCGACAGCAGTCTGCCACAACCCATGCACGGTGGAGGTCGTCTCTTTGGATGAAGAGGGAGGAGGCAGCCCCCCCCCCCCTTTTACCCCGGCCCCCCTTCCAGACTGCTGCAGTGCAACAGTTGCAATTCACAAGCTCAGCTTCTGATTTGTATCATCACCTTTCAGCGATGGGATTATGTTCACTCTGCTGGCTGCTCGACTTAATATTTTTTTCGTTTTTTTTTTTGCTGGTGGATGAAATCGCCTTTTTTTTTAATCACATCTTCCCAACAGTAGACTGCCGTTTCTTATCATTCCAATCAATGTGTTTGGGCACATGGCTACAGTAGGTTAAGTTGCCTGGTTACAACTTGCGGGGTGGGGAGTTTGGTTTGTTGTCATTGTTGCTGGTCAACCAGCAAAATAAATGACAGGCCTGTAGATTCGCCCCCCCCCCCCCAACCCTGCAAAAAATGCCCGAAAATCACCATCCGGTTCATGAAAACAAATAACATGATTTGAAAGCCCTTTTCCACCGAAAATGGTTGCTAACATTTTACCAATGTACATAGTGGCGTTACTTTTTGCACAGAAGTCAAAAGAAATATATTTAAAAATGTCAAACACAGCCAGCATGGTGGACTAACATTTGTAAGCTTGCCACACAATTTTGATGTTCGAATCTTGGGCTAGCGCCTTCTTGTCAGGAGTCGGCGTTTTCTCTGACTGCTACTTCCTCCCAAATTCCAGAGACTCTCACGATCGGTGCATTAACGTCTCTAAATTGTCCATAAGTGTGAATGTGAGAGTAAATCAGTATCTTATCCTGTCATGGAGTATAGCGAGCAACCTAGGGTGCCTCTCGCTTGAAGTCAGCTGGGAGAGGTTCCACATCACCCGTGACCCTCCGGACGACAAGCGCTGCAGGAATTGGATAAAACTCAAACATAAACAAAAGCATTTTACGTGCACTTTTAAATCCCTCTTCTTCATGTAAAAGCCAAGGGCCAAACACATACATTTTGTCTTCTCGCCTTCACCAAACACTGCAACACAAAATGCTCTGCAACGGTCAGTGAAGTGAACCTGCCCGCACACGCCCCATTTGATTGTTTATTATGCTTCGTGGAGATGTGGAAATGTAAATCTGGCTCGCAGCTAATGTGGACGACATGTGCTACCTGAAGTTGCTTTTAATAGTTTGCAGATGTCAGGTCATTTCAATGTGGCTGCTTGCAGATTACAGACACCCACGGCCTTTATTTTAACATGCAGAACTTGTTCAACTGTTTATGTGGTCATGCGGCAGAGAGAGAGAGAGAGAGAGAGAGAGAGAAAAAGTTTTAGGTGCAAGATGTTGTTCGCCACTCCTGTAATCCTTTCTCTCGCCGGCCAATTAGGCATGCGGTTTTAAAAACACTCATTCGTCCCTCTTAAGGTTTATTAACATCAGACATTTAAAATACTCACTAGCGAGCTCAAATAAGAAAGGCGAACGGCTCACGTCGCAGTCGCGTGCGCGTAGCGTGCCGCGACGCCAGCTCGTCAAAATGTGACGCCGTTTTGCTCGCGGAGGCGTGAACGCATTGAGTCACAGAGCTGTGGCAGCCTGCTGGAAAAGGCGCTGTTTACTCTCCAAAGAGTAAATACAGCTAATGGAGGTGTGCAAAGAAGAAAAGCAGAAGGGATAGCGGATGAAGAGAATCAGAGTGGGGAGTCACGGGAAGATGCAGGAATGAAACCGAAGTTGCTTTCTTGTGTGTTTGCATCCATCCGTACCAGACATATAGTACAGTACTTTTTTTTTTGTAGCCTATTCATGTACAAAAATGATTATAAGTAACAATAAAGTGTTAAAGTTGATCCAAACTGAACTTGTTGATGGGAATATCGCCACTGCCAACACGGTTTTCGCCTGCTCTAGTCTACTGTAATTCTGTTTATGTATGACAACAGTACCACAGCGCCATTTATTGCCACTGTGGGAAATTCTGGAACCGCCAGACTTAAACAGCTACTTCAGAAGAGGCGTTCTGAGAGGACTGGAACCTAAAAAAAAGTGTAAAAAAAACAAAAAAAAAGTGTTGTCGAAAAAAAAGCTGCATTCATCACGAGTTTATGTGCAGTACTGTAAATGTTGCTGATAAGGCACTGTCGCTTATTTTTGTTATTTGGGACCACTGAAGCTACGAAAACACCTCTTAAAACATTGCGAAAAACTAATAGCAGCAGTATGCTATCTTTTAAGCCTATTTAAAGATAGTTTTGCGCATTCCTGCTAACTGACAAGCCTCCAAAAAAACATGACTCCACGGAAGGTAAAATGTTACGAACCCCCCCACCCCCCAAATCAACACCAATTGCACATATGACTAAATGCCTCGACTGTCAAATTGACATCGCTTACGAAACACGGTTCAAACGACCTCCCCTCCCACAGAAGGTCCACGTAAACACAGCAACATGTGGCCGAACGCGCTTCCTCTCATCCTCCTCCACACGCCGCGCAGACATAAGATCGGCCCTTCAAAAGGGTTTGATGCAAAGTCATTTCAAACCTTTTTTTTTTTTTTTTTTTGCAGATGCATGACTGATAAAGCTGAATTTATATCCACTCAGGTTCATTCCTTCCCAACCTTGAGGCTAATTATTGGACTTCAAGGTTGCTGTATTGACATCGCCCCAAGGCCCCAAAGGTGGAGGCATGTCCCGAATGACTAAAAGTCACATTTGAATGCAACCAAAGTGATACAGATACAATCCCAGTGATTCGATATTTTACCCTTTTTAGGTACACTTCAGTTCGAGCCGAAGGCGGCAAGACAGAATTACATCTTGGGAAACTTCTCATCTTGACTTGAAGCTACAGCGTCAAAATTTGAGCAAACAGTGAGAGTCAACTGCTAAACTCTCATTTCTTTTTTCTTTCAGGGGCGGGGGGTGGAGTCCCTGCAGGGTCGCTTTGCATTTCGTTTTTACACTCGTGAGGAATGAGACGGCTACAGCTCCGATTTCTATATAATGTACATGTATTTATGTTCCATTGTCAAAACTGTCAGTTGAAGCGTCCGTCGTGCGTTGTTTCGTTTTGTGTCAGTGGAGTTGACGACACTCAGCGGTCACAACATTAGGTACGCCCGACCGAGCTCTCATGCGAACGTCGTGTCAATAAATGTCTTTGCAACGATAACAATGCTCACTTTTGACGCCGTCGGAGAGGTATTGAACTTCAGCGATGTTTATTATCGCAGTGATATAGAATTCCTTTTTTTTCCATGTACAGTCTGATGATTTACAGTCACTGAACATCTCTCTTTGTTGTTGTTGTATTATCCCGAATTGGAAAGATTAAAAATAAAGCATGCCAAAATAGACATCGGTAATTATTGAGCTGGTGTGAAAATAAAAGCCGAATATCCTACAAGGAATCTCTCCCTCACCTCCCTCTGGAAAACCCAGGAAGGCCAATTGTCGAAAAAAAAAAAGCCTTTTAATAGCTGGCGTGGCTCCTCATATGACGTGTATTGAAATACTTAGGAAATGGAGAGAATTTGAGGAAAGTATCTCATGTCTGGGTGTGTGCAGCCTTCAGATAGGTGCGATATGCCATTCTTAGAAAGTCTGACGTGATGAATGGCCGCCTCGAGCTTTTGCGCAGCTGTTCCGCTCTGATCTGAGCGTCTGAGCACCGAGTGTTTGTTGACACAACGTCATTCAGCATCTCGTGTTGTTTGAACAACACTTAGGGAAGACCCGGGCAGCTCCCCATGCGGGAGGATGACACTGTTGACCATCAATCATTTGACCAAATCGCTTCTGTCTGCTTCTCACTTAGTATCTCATTCTGGCATACAAGGATGCAGCTTTTCTTCTACTCGAACAATTTTCAATTCCTCCTTTCCTACCAAACCATTGAGCCACAGTCGATGTTTGGATAGTCGCAGATTCGGCAAAGTACGACCCGTGATTTACATCCGGCCCTCTCACTATTTCTGACCAGGTCTCACAGGAACCAAGAGGTCAAAATCAAACACGAAATATGTGCTGCTTTTCAGTTTTGAACGTTTTGCGGTTATTTCATGTTCAAACACGTGGATGCTAGTACGCTAGTCAAGCTAGCGTACAAGAGCGACAACTTGTGTCTGCATTATCGACAATTTAGAACATTTTTGCGACATTTTGCATCATTTTCGACCGGTCGAGCAACTATTTTAAATATGTGATGCTTTTAGTTTGAAACGTTTTGCTCTTATTTTATGTTCAAACAACGTGGATGCTAGTACGCTAGTCAAGGAAGCATACAAGAGCGACAACATGTGCCCGCATTATTGCCAACTGAGAACATTTTTGCAATATTTAGCATGATTTACGACCCGTCTAGCAACTATTTTCTCAAAAATTAGACCAAAAAAAAACCCCCAAAACATCTAGACACCTACTCTAGTCAGAATTTACTTGATCGGAGCCGTGGCATGCTAAAATGCAGCTGAACTGCACCGCTTGGTGGAAATTTGGCTTTTGACTGAGAAGAAACTTTTATACCAAGCGTCCCTAATTAAGTAGGCAGTGCGAGTCAAACTATGAATCATAAATGATCA